AACTGGCGCTAGATTTTCCTTTATTCCAAGTGCATATGTATCACATTTCATTTAAATTCTTCCATAAATAAAAAAGTTGGCACTGCGCATGCGCAAAACCAAATTTTGAAATTGGCGTTTGATTTTCCTTTATCCCAATTGCCTATGTATCAAATTTCGTTTAAATTCTTCCATAAATAAAAAAGTTGGCACTGCGCATGCGCAAAACCAAATTTTGAAATTGGCGTTTGATTTTCCTTTATTCCAGGTGCCTATGTATCAAATTTCATTCAAATACTTTTATAAGTAAAAAAGTTTGCAATTCGGTTTATAAATGGTCGAGATGCGAAAAGGGCACTGTGAATTTTGAATCGATCGATTCAACTTTTGGCATTGCGTATTATATGGCTAAATCTATGCCCATATTGAATTTCATGCAATTCAGTTCATAACTAACGGAGATGTAAAGCGATCGAACATTTCTAAACAAAGTTATCGTTCACACGGACAGTTAGATGGACAGACAGACAAAGGAACAGACGGAGAGACCAACCGGCAGGCGACAGATAGCAATGCAAAATTATAAACGGTCTCTAGGATCGTTAATAAACGGCAAAAGTGTAAAATTATGGAACATGTAAAAAACGGTTTTTTGTTTTTTTTACAATAACTTTTTTTGTAAGCGGTACAGAAAAAATTCCTTCTTTGGTACAAGACTCGACACCATAACGAACCAAATAGCGAAAAAAGTAGAACAATAGCTCTTAAGATAAAGAACTAGTAGCGTCGCAAAGTTAGCGGACGGACAGACGGACGGACAAAGTGGCCACAATAGCGCATTTTTTTTTATTTTTGTGGAAATGCGCTAAAAAGCGCATTACTCGGCGCATTACAATTGCATTCATTTCCCATACTGTAAGATGCAAGCAAACTTAAACTTCAAATTTCGTAAAAATCCGGCCACAAATAAGAAAGTTAGCGTTGCACATGTGCAATCCATTTTCGACTTGCTATTTGCTATTTCAGTTTATAAAAAGAACCCTACCCTAAAATTTCAGGGTATTTCTGGGCATGCGCAAAACAAATTATTTGATTTGGCATTAGTTTCATCTTTATTCGAGATGCCTACATACAAAATTTCATTTAAATAACTTAACAAATAAAAAAAATTCGATTATGCAGGAGCCCAGCATATTTTTTTTTTTTTGACTCGGCACTAGTTTTACTTTAGTCGAGGTCGCCATCTACAACCTACATACAAAGTTTCATTTAAGTATTTAACAAATAAAAAAATGGATTGCGCAAATACAAAAGCTAACGTGCACGGACAAACAGACAGACAGATACACTGACAGACGGGCATACAGACAGACAGCAATACAATACAATCTCAAAAAAATGGGCTTTTTACCATAACTTTTTTCGTAAGCGGCACAGAGAAAATTCCTTTCTTGGTGCAAACCTTGACAGCATAACGAACCAAATAGGGAAAAAAGTAGAAAAACTAGGGGCGGACGGGCAAAGTGGCCACAATAGTACATTTTTTATTTTTGTGGAATTGTGCTAAAAAGAAGAGTATTTCAGTGGAACAAGTTCTATACAATCCGATAAATCTAATAGGGGGGTGGCCCACTCAAATCACAGATACTGAAAGACAAACTAAGTGGCATTTGGGTCAATGTTAAAAAATGGCACAATCAAAATTTGAAAACATTCGCTCGCTTAAAGAGATACAAGGGAAATCAAAAATTGTCAATATCAGAATGAAAAGAGACACGAATAAATGTTTATTACAAAATTACTTGCTGGGTAATCGGCCGTTTTCAAAATAGGTTACATATACGATGTCCGCAAAAAAGTTACTGGACTAACCTCATTTTTAGATAGAACACCCTGTATGTTTTAATTTAAAAAGATAGCACATTAACATTTTCATTTTTAATATATAACGCAATCGCAATAGATAGGGAAAACAAAAAATTCAAAATTATTAAAAAAGAATTAAAACATTTAAGAAAGGTTCAAATATTAAAAAACAACAAAAAATTAAACATTTTGAAATTTTTTAATTTTTTGAAAAATCTAATATTGCACTTTTTAAATTTCTTTAGTGTTATATTTCTAGAAAGTGAATTTAATATGCTCTTTTTCGAATGAAATATACAGAGCATTCCACTAAAAAAAATGACGTTAGGTCTCGGGTTAGGTCCTATAACTTTTTTACCTGATCCCGTACCCTTATTTTAAAACAGCAGATTATTCAACAGTCTTATAAAGAAACTTGTAAGAAAAATCTTTCTATATCCTTTAATAAATATAGGTTCATTCTGAGATTTACAATTTTTTGAATTTCGTACGTCCATTTTTAAATTGAAATATTTTAATCAAAAGCTAACATATTAAGAATCTATTTTCCAAAATATAACACTACAAAAATTCCATATTGATTTCAATAGATTCAAAAGATTTAAAAAACCTAAAGATTCAAAAAATTTTTTTGAAATTTTATTGTATTTATCAAATCGTTTGACCTTTTTTTTAAATCTTTTTTGAGCTCTTTTTGAATCATCCTTAGTGTATTATATTTTTTAAAAGTTAATATGCTATATATTTGTAGATTATTAAGCGGCAGAGGTAAGCTTTATAGGGAACTTGATTGTGTCCGTGAACACCATAACTGCCAAACGCTTGAACCGATTTGGTTCATGCCACAAGTAATAAGCCTATTGCAAATGGGTCAAATCCAATGACCCCTTGTGGTCACGCCTCTTTGTCTGTGTCAAACGCTTGAACCTATTCGATTGAAACTTTGCACAGTTAATATAGATACCACATGTAACAAGGCAATTGAAAATGACTCAAATCCAATAATGCGTAGGGTTACTCTGAGCTGCTGTGCCGCTTTTTTAGACTCACTTTAGGGGTTTAGTAAATAGTACAGGGCTTTCCATTTAAAAAAATAAAGTTAGGTTCAATATATTTTTTGCCTAACCCCGCGTGGCGTGTGATTGTACCTAAAAACGGGTGAGGGTTGCCAATGTGATTGTCACAACGATTGCGGGATTGTTTTAGGCGATTGTGAGATTGCAAACGCGATTGTGGGACTGTGAGGGAGATTGCCACAGCAATCGGAGGGATTGCAAGCGATTGCAGACAATTTGTGATAGTATTGCGGGAAGATGTTACAAGAGGGGCTTTACTTGTTACCCTTTACAGGCCCTTTATAGACGTGTTGAAAACCGATTGAGATACTCTACCATTACCAGCCAGAAGGATCTAACTCTAAGAGTAGGCAGATGTAGGCCTAAGGCAACATCCATCGCTCCCTTTTTATGCCCTACCATCAGTACCATGTAATATAATACCATTGTAACCTTAGATTATATATGTAATATATGTATGATCTAAGATTGTAACCATTTCAATGCCATCTCCTGATTTGCATACGGTTCATGATAGGTATTTAAAATATCAACAAACAAAATAGAATGTTGGATCTGGGTGATAATGACAAAAATCGAATTATTTACACAACAAATGAACCCGAACCAAATGATATTTTCCGTTTGACTCTTTACTCAACGAAATTGGTAGGTATATTATTGTTGAAGAAAGAAACGGAATTTTGTTTTTATCTTAATTAAATCAAGCTTCATTTTGTCGGATAGAAACTTCACTTCTTCACTATTATCGCTGCGAAAATACCAAGAATGGCTCTTTCTAATTTACCACAAATAGAGAGATTAAAAGGACGTGAGAACTGGGATGCCTGGAAAATGGCTGTGCACAGGTGTTCCACCAAATGGAGGGTGTGTGGAATGATCCCTCATTATTCGTCCACATTCGTCAAGCGAACAGTGGATTGGACCATTCATGTATCAAGACAAAGTTGCTTCAGGATGATGAAAAACTTTAAAGTGAGCTGCCTGCGACGTAGGCTACTCGGCTTTTACAAAACGGAACGAAACTTTTAGGTGCGAAGAGATCGGGGTAACCGCGCTCGTTTTCCGCATTACGTTTCTCGATATCGTTTCTTATCCCAGACATATTTTCGTTCATGTACTCTATGAAGCGGTACATTTTTCTATGCTAAACAAAGTACAATTCGAAAATAGAATTAGATTAGTTTCACACGTAATTCACATGTTTTTTTATTGCTTCCAGAGCCTTGGTATATTGGGGTCGATCCCGGCAGCATGGCTGATACTCACACTATTCGTCCTACTCATCTACTTGCTCACACGATGCTGCGATCGTAAAACAAGGACTTCACGCTCAATTTCCGCATTAAAAGTGACGCTCGCGATCACGTCGGTGTTATGTTGCGCCGCGCTCGGTTTGGGTTTGTACGGCAACGACGACCTGCACAACGGCTTCTCTCAGCTGCTCACCGAAGGGCATCAGGTCGAGCAGTTGGTGTCTCAAATTCGAAATCAGACGACCCAGATCGAGAAGACGCTGACGAAAAACGAAGAATCTCAACTGACGACCATTCGCGACGCGTTCGATAATTACGCGACCAATCAAACCGCAGTTGCTCAACTGTTGAAGTGGATCGATAATGCGATCAGCAACAATTCGGATGCCATGCACGCCGCGTCCGATATTAGGCTACCGTTAGAACGGATACACTTAACGGCTAAGATTAGATTAGCCGAAAAAATCGAGACCTGGAGATGGCCGATTACTATGACTGTTCTTAGTTTATTATTAGTGTTGTGTGTTGTTTTACTAGTAGGCGTGGCGCGCCACAGTCGTTGCGCACTTATTGCGTTCTCAGTTTGTGGTCTACTGGCGGTAATCGCCTCGTATCTTATGGCAAGTGTATATCTAGCGTCGAGCGTAGCTTTGGGGGATTTGTGCGTGGCCTCCGATAAATTTTTAGAGGAGGAAGCTTCCCCCGAATTACCGAGGGAGATAGTTAGGTACTACACGAGCTGTGAACGCGCTCGCGCGAACCCTTTCACTCAACGATTGCGCGAAGCCAAAGCCTCAATTGTGGCACTGAGGGAGGTGGTTAGAAAAATGCAGAAACCTGCAAATGAGTTGTTTCCAGGCAAAGGTCTCGAGCCGATCTTTATATCTTTAAGTAACCAAATAAATGATGCCGATAAACTGTTTGATACTCTCATGACACTCGTCGATTGTCACGCACTTCATGCGCATTACTTACGGGGCGCACGCGCCTTGTGTAACGTAGGCTTATTGGGATTATCCCTCATGTTGGCTTCCTCGGTGCTAGCTGGGATTCTACTCACGATCCTGGTATGGGTTGACTCACACACGTGGATTTACATCAGAAAAAGGTAAGGCTATTGGATAAACGGAACTGAAATAATCTTTGCACACTTTTAGGAAAGATTACCATCAGGTCAACGAGACCGACACGTCATACCTACCGGCGCCGGCAGCGAGTCAAGCAATCGCGGCGAGGACCTTACAACGTAGCCAAGGGTCGTACCCTCCTGATACTCCTCCGCCTAGCTACACATCTGCCATGCTGCATATCAGCCCGCATGCCTCAGCTCCCCCGCATGAAGCTCAGTTGCTCATGTACTTTATAAGTTTATTTATTTTATTTCAATACTCGATTAAATTATTTCTTACGATGTCGCAATGCATGCTTCTATATTCATTCGATTTCACTATATCTGATGCGAAGCAAAACTGTCGCGCACAAATTAGCCGTACCCGTTTCTCTAATAGAAATTCTAGTTAGAATAGAACGTATGGCTGCCGCATGAATTGTCACATTCGTTGATTGTACCGAGTTCAAAGTAAATACAGTTGATTGTGATGCTCGTCGTTTTACAGTGATGGGTGTGACAAACGATCAACAGAGGCCAGAGGAGCCCATCTCTCTCATCTCAGGGGCCACACTCTCGGACGCCTGCCATCCCACCATCACGAATCGTTCTCAGGTCCTAACAATGGCAAGTACGCGACTCTGAGCAAACAGTGTAAGACGCTGGAAAGCTCGGATTTTTACTGAGACAGGTTAGTATCTTACATTTCGATTGGGCTTACAGAGAAAGATTCTTGTTCGAGGCCTTCTTCTGTTCTTATGATGGCTTCTCATCACCTCAGCCTAGCCAAGATTGTTTTGTTAAAAAAATTACAAGTAAGTTACTGTGGGCATAACTGTAGGTTGTCTCTTTCTCATTTAGCTTTCGTGTTGTGAATTCTTAAAGTTCGCTATGTGCATAAACTATAATAATATTTCACTAGTCATCGATTTCAACCAATTGGCTGTTGTGTGCGAGGGATATGGTAACACAATCCCTACTTTATGGTGGTTAAATATCAATGGAAGTAGGTAAGATTTTCATGATCTTACAAAGTTGTCGAGTGTATCGTTTTTAAATCTCACTCAAAATTTTGCATTTAAGACATTTTATGTGGCACAGGTTTCCTTCATTGTTTAATTGCAACCATTTTCCAAAATTTCCCAAACTTTTTCTTAATTTTTGTCATATTTCCTATCTTATCGTATTTCTTTGTATTCCTTCGCGATTTTCAATTTTCAATTTTGGATGTCTAAAATCCCATTTTCAAAAATTTGAAATTTCTAAAAATTAATTTTTAAATAGGGATGGGAATTTTTTTGATAATCGATATATCGAATAACAATAGGTAGAGTTAAAAATACAATATATTGATAACTATTGATAAATCGGGAACTATCGGGTATATCGATGACTATTGATAACTGTAGACATATCGATTCTGTCGATACTTATTGATATATCGATATTTCAATAAGTATTGCCATATTGATAAGTAAAATATATATCGATAGGAGAGTACACGATTCTTATCGATAGTTGAAAACAGTTATTGCCCATCTCTACTTAATACTAACATAGTTTTTTACCATAAAACCTATTTATCATTATGTAAAATCTCCCACAACTGAAGTATCGTATCCACATGGCGTATATAAATTACAAGATAAATTACCTACATAATATTTTAGAAACAATTGCTGTATATTAAGCCAAAGAAACTCATTCTGGAAACGTGTCTTCAACATCAACAATTTCCATACTTTTTAGGCTTGAATCTACCTATAAACAACAATACTGGGTCGCTATGCTCATTACCACTCCAACCGATTTATCTACATTCTCTCAACTTGTTGGCATAACGATAACTGTCAATATATCGATAGGTATCCATATACAGTGATATTAAATAGACATAGGGATTTACGTGTATTGTTTTTCCCTATGTCTACTTTTAAAAGACAAAATTCATCTGTAGGGCGCCTAATTTTATGCATCTAAAGTAACTTCTTAAAACAAATACAGATCATAATATTGTTGCTTTGACTTCACAGAACATAAATCTCTTAGGCTCCTTAAACTGTCGATATATCGATACCTATCAAAATACCGATAACCATCGATTTTATGATAATATTGTCGCCACATCGATAAGTAAAGTATATGGACAAGTACCCGATACTTATCGATAGATGAAAACAGTTATCGCCCATCTCTAGTTTTAAATGCTTCATTTTTATTATGTTAGTAAAATTTTGAAGTGTTAGAATTCGGCAATCAGAATTTGATAAGTAATTTTCAACCTTGTCGACAAGATCACAAGAATATTTAAGATCTGGGCAGCCCTCCAAACGCTCCCATCACTAGGACGTTAACTGAGAACTTGTTGGATGATCTTTTACCAGAGAAGCTGCTCCACTTGAACCTAAAGCGGCGCATAACCACTACTCCCACACCACACAGTCTAATTCTCATCATGTTAAATCCTGTCACGGTTGAACGGTAGTTGTTGAGCATTGCAGCTCTCCTCTAGGCGCAGGGGAGTATGCCCGATGACCTCGATTCTTTCCTCGATTTCTTAATTTTCTTGATTTTTTCATATTATTGACATGGACCATATTTTTAAATTTAACCAAACTTTTAGCAAACATGCATCAACTCGTAGTCACGGAAATCTTTAAAAAATAAAAAAAGGCTTCTGCAGAACGACGATGCTTTAATTTTAAGTGACATTCAAACAACTGTAGTAATTACAATTCCATTGTATCGAAAAGCGGTATGTAATGAAACGTTATGTCAAGGAGGAGTGAATAGTGCGGCAAATAAATATTGAGGTAGCAATGTTTAACATCTGACACTAATCGGGTACTCGTATACTAAAGCCATAATTAACACTCAATAAGAACCAATAATTCAATTTAGGTTAGCAAAATTTTGGTTGACAATGAATCGTCCATATAAATCGGTGATATAAGAGCATGAACGTGAGATTAATTCAAGAAGACTACTTTACGATGCACAAATAACTAAATTCCTATACAACAAAACAAGTGTAATTAAATTGATTCGAAAGGTAAATAATTTGACACCAGCAAATTCTTCGTAATGACACAAGTAACGTAAGATATCTGTTTCGGACTAGGTTTCCGTAACTTCAAAAACTGATTTACAAAGCAACGGTAACTAATATCTTCGTATAACAAACAAATATGAAGACTATAACGTAGTCAAGTTAACATGAAAGAATCTTCGGAGTGACAAAAATATAACGTAGTATCCAGGTAGATAATAACGTAAATGTAATCCAGAAGAGAAAATTAGAAGAAAACAATGAGAGACTCTAAAAAAATACGTATTAAGAATAATGTGGAGTCATCTCGACATACCTCATACTAGTTACTTGCAAATATAAATCTGCTATGCGAATTCAATGGAGCAGCCACAACACAATAGAAACATTCCAAAGAAATTTAGGGAAATAAACCCTTTTCAAGGAGACAGAAGCCGAGTAAAAGTAATGGCGTATCATGAAACGTTGCAAGTAACCACTATGAATTCAGAATCGAAATGGAACAAGTATAGACACGACAAAATTTAAGAAGGGATAGCAATGTGTGTCGGAAGGTGCACAGCGTGACCTCTAGCGACAAAAAAGGAATGACGTAAGGGCAATGAAACCTATTACAGTGACAATTGGAGCCCAGTCTCCAATTAGAAGCAGGCAACTCCGAATACACGTATGACATGTTTGGGTACACTAGAATACAATATTATCTATACTCGATGCAACATGGCCGACGATCTCAACACCCATTATATAATTAGACACTTTGTTGCCAATGTCTATAAAGTCACTGTAAAACTTATAACATTCGGATGCCTCTAGCAGCAAACTAAAAGAAATAACAATTCTACCATAGAATTAACTTACATCTAAACTAAACAGGTTTACAAAGGAAATTCTTAGATGGCGTAAGAATATCATTTAATATTAGAGTAAGAATCTAATATTAAATAAATGGAATATAGAGAATGTTGATTTTCCTCACACTGTAGTTGGGAGACATTCAGATGATGCTGACATGCCCAATCTGTTTTTAGCCAAGGTCTAAAACTAGATACCTTCGGAGATATCTTTTGTAGCAGTAATTTTCCTTAGACCTCTGATGGCCATAACAAGATTTACTGCTTCTGACATACTAGTCTCTTCTGAACAAATATTACCAGTTTTTTTTCTCTCTGGCTTCATGTTTCTTCTGATCATACAGTCAATTTAGTCAAAACATAGTATAATTACTATGTCTCACTGTGGAGCAAATCCATTTATCTCACTGTTGGGCATGCATCATAAACAATCACCATTTTGTAAAACAGCGCATGTAAAAAAATGGACAATCACACAAATAAGATAGATTTGCAAACTAGATAAGTAAAAAGTACTGTCACATTAATATCAGAGCATAAAACACCTATATATCTGTTGTATCTACAATTAAAAAATACGTCACTTCCAAAAATTTACTTTAGACACATTAATGATCTGAGTGTTCTGGGTACCAGCATAAACCAACCATGCATTAGTCATACCTGTGTGCACCAACCGCAGACAAATCAGGCACATGGGTACCACATAGGTGAATCTCACTGTCTCACTGTTGGATACTCTCCCCTAGTTCCCTATACTCTCTCAAATTCAACTCTGAAGTATGCGCACTCTCTTCACAGTCCTCTAGGAGCTACCCTTTGAGATGCTTATGTTAATTAGACTGCTGTAACCATGGAGGATATCGACTTTTCGTTGCACCAGCGCCCCCTCCCTAAACCAAGTGACCAAAATTGAGATACTACTTTTCTTTAATTTTGACAAAATATCCCATTTATATTACAGGTCTGCCTGCAAGGACTTCCCAAACTTCAAAGGTTTTAAGTTTGATCAGCATCAGAAAGCATCGCGCCAAATGGAGGCGCAACGAACCGCGAACATACAAAAGTTCAGCTCGCTCGGTAGGCGCCCGCTGCCGCAAACGCCCGACGAGAAGGCGCGCAAGCAGCCGCCGGTCCCGAAGGTGCCGACGACGATCGCGCAGAACATCGAGACGCCTCTGAACGTCGCCAATTTTCGTTCGTTGCAGCGCGGCGCCTGGCAGGACAGCTGCCTGCAGGCGAACTCGCAATTTCGGTCGCTTCAGCGCGGTGCTTCCGCAAATCCATGTTCACATTCGCAATTTCGATCTGCGAAAGTACAAGACCAGACGCATAACGAAAATTTGTATGCGAATAGTGAAAGTGAACGACAACTTTATGCTGTTACCGAACTGTAAATATTTAGTTTTCTTTTGGGAAATGCAGGCAGAGTGGCTTTTTACATTTCCAATTTTTTTATAAATGTACAATTTTTGTTACTACAAGTAACGTTACAGTTACCTACGTTTGCCATTTTAGCAATTAACAATTGCGTCGATCAGTCTGTTTGATGATATATATAGAGTATTATACGATGACCGCTTCTTAAAACTATTAAGTTAGACATATCTCCAATGAGGGTACTTCTAATGAGCGGAGCGTCGTAGAAACACTCGACTTAGATAAGTTTGTTGCCGTAGATTTTAGTATTTAATCTGTATATTGGGAACAAATTTTTAAGGGATTACTCCCTGTTCAAATTAAAGCTCAGTTTTCAACTTTTTGTATAAAACTAGTGCTAAAAGACGATTTATCTCAATTTTGAAGCTTTATCTTGCAGATTTGCGCGATCACTATTTGTGTTTTATAAGACTGTCACGTACGTTTTCCAAGTTGCATAAAATTAAGGTAAAATTAATAAGGTTTTCTATAACCCACCTTTTTACTGTATTATGGAACGTCGCTTTAGTATTAATGTATGATAAAGTTGCATTTTTAGGACCAGGGTTCGTCTCGAATAATAATCGTTTAGTATTTATTTAAAACTTAAAAATGCAATTCCCGTTATTACCCATGAAGTGTTGAAGCGTCTTTCCATACAGCATTAACGTAATGTTTCTACATAACTCCTGTAGAGATTAGCTGTAAATTTACATACGTATTTGTTGTCAGTTGCCAGTTCTATTTATACTTTTAAGTTTTGAGGATTTTTCATTTTGTTCTATTTGTAAAATCTCCAAAGGTGGCTGTCAACAATAAGATAAAGGGATTGATTCTGTATAACACGACAACTTTTTGTAATTTATATAAATAACTGCCAAAGATTGTGTTTTTTGGTGATTGTAAGACTGGATGGGACACTCGTGAGATACGTACGATTGTATCTAATTTAGATTTATTGCTACCTATACATAACTATAATAAATGTTCAAGTATCTTTAGAAAACGATTTTTTGTTATAATGCATCGACTGTTGGCCTCTTTTGTTTTGTTTCCATTCTTTTCTATAATGAAATTATTTTTTTTAAATATGTATGTATATGTTTATATGTTTTACAATGTAATATAGCAACAATATTTATTTTATATCACTTAGAGTAGTTAAGATACTTTTGTAAAAACTGATTCCAAAGCTAATGTATATTTGTTTTATGTAAGTAAATTTGCTGACATTGAATTCTCTCTAATTGTGTTAGGCTTGTCTGGAAATTGAATCCGGTTAACCGGACCAGAGCTGGGCAGTATTCGATTTTGTAAATACTTTTTAGTATTCAAATCCTTTAAAGTATTCAAATACTTTGTAATTAAATACTTTTATGGAATCAGTATTTGTAACTCAAATACTTTCACAAATACAGTCAAGTCCGGCTATAACGAACCCTTACTTGTCTTAGAAACAGGTTCGCTATATCCAAGGTTCGCAATATAAGAAAAGACGCAAATTCGATGGCCAAAGTACAAATCCTCAAAAAAGTTCGTTATAGCCGGGAGTTCGCTATAAACGGGTTCGTTATAGACGGACTTGACTGTATTTAGTATTCGAATACTTCGCAAAGTATTTGGATACTTCGCAAGATATTTGAATACTTTGAGAAGTATTCGAATACTTCGCATAGTATTTGGATACTTTCTAAGAATGGAGCTTCGATGGTTTTTCCTAAAACATGATCACACGTAGTGAGGGTTCTGAATACATAATTTCGAGGGGTACATCCATAACCTTCCTTTTTTCCAAAAATCGACTACTCCAAAATTTCTCGGGAAAACACTTTTTCTTATTAATTTTGGTGCGTAGAATCCAAAACAATTCGTACTTTTTCGATCAGACTTCTCAATCAAAAGTTATAGACTAGAAACCAATTTCGAAAGAAAATTCAAAGGGCTGTAACTTTTGAACTAGTAGCCCAATCTTGGAACTGTTTGAAATTATGGATTCTACAGGCCACATTCTATAAGAAAATTTTTTTTCCGGATCGATCTGAGACAATTTTTTTTTCGGGGCTCAAAAAAAGGCAGTTATTACCTTCCTTTTTTACCAAAAATCGACTGCACCAAAATTTCTCGGGAAAACACTTTTTCTTATTAATTTTGGTGTGTAGAATCCAAAACAATTCGTACTTTTTCGATCAGACTTCTCAATCAAAAGTTATAGACTAAAAACCAATTTCGAAATATAATTCAAAGGGCTGTAACTTTTGAACTAGTAGCCCAATCTTGGAAGTGTTTGAAATTATGGATTCTACAGGCTACATTCTATAAGAAATTTTTATTTCCGTGTCGATCTGAGAAAATTTTTTCTGCTGGCTTCAAAAAAAGGCAGTGTATAACCTTCCTTTTTTTACAAAAAATCGACTGCACCAAAATTTCTTGGGAAAACACTTTTTCTTATTAATTTTGGTGACCAATGCAGCAGGCCTAGTGAGAAATGGAGCTCAAGTTCAGTTTAGGGTTTTACGAACTCTGGCCTACAAGTTTGATAAAGAATCCGCCTGTAAAATTTCATCGTAATTGGTCGATTCGTTTTCAATATATCGTGCTGACGGACAAATGGACAGACATCGCAAAATTATGTCGCTCGGAGATCGTTAATAAAAAATACAGTGACATTTCTGAAAAGTGAAGTTTAATACCTATGGTACATTTATTAACGAGCTCCTAGCGAGTTTATAATTTGCGGTGTCTATCCGTCCGTCTGTTAATTCCAAAAGTTGAGACTAATCGATCAGCATTCACAGTGCCCTTTTCGCATCTCGACCAAACTTTTTTATTTATAAAAGTATTTAAATGAAATTTGATTCATATAGCCACTTGGAATAAAAGCAAATATAACACCAGTTTCAAAATTTCGTTTTGCGCATGCGCAGTACCAACTTTCTTATTTATGGAGGGATTTAAATGAAATTTGATACATAGCCAATTGTTTCATTCCACATTATATTGAAGCTATAAGTACCAACACATTATTATCTTTAAGCCGAGCATATAATAAGTACACGTGTTTTATACAACGGCTTTAAACCTACGTATATGTAAATTGAAATCAAAAGACCCATCAAGAAGTAAGTACATAGAAAAAGAAATTTAGTAACGAGTATGCAAAGTAGGTACTATACTATAATACTTGCCAGGAGAGAATGCCTGTTACAAAACACCTGGTGCCTGTCTACAATCGTGTTTTTCATATACGATTGTAGACCGCCGGCATCAGGTGTTCTGTGGCCAGCATTCTCTCCTGGCGAGCATAATACATATACTGTTTGTGGGCAGAGATATGCACCTTCATTACTTACTTACTTATCTATTGAATTAATTTATTCTGGTGTGTATCTCCGCCCTTAGAGAATGAATCTAGAAGTATTTAGACATTTAACTATCGTGAATTGTATAAGTTAAGTACTAAATTATGCTATTTGTGAAACTCTGCGCTGTTGCATAACGGCCCCCTAGCGGCTCGCTATACAATAGCACAGATTTTCGCGCAGGCATAGTTCCGCATCTACTTAAGTACTTAAAGTTTCTTCAGTGCAGCTCTATTAGCTACTTTGATTAAACTGCATTTATTAAGGCCAGTGAATAAACATTTCTCAAAAAATAGCAAGGAATTTGGTGAACTGAAATCGAATTTTTTACTATGCGGCCCTCAACATTAAACACTTTCTGTATCATCTACTGAACTAGTCTTAGACCCACAAATTCTTCTATCCTTTGTGTAAGGAATTATGCCTAACAAGACACCAGCGATTACTATCCAGAAACCAGCGTGCCAAAATGATTGGTTCCAACTTCCAGTTAAATCAAAAATCAAACCTGCAAGAGTTCTGTTAGATCAAATATTTCTGCAGAGTAGTTTTACCAGCAACCGGTGGTCCCAGTAAATTGCCGATCCCTTGACTTAGAAGAATTAATCCATACGCATTTGTAAATTTCTCCAAGGAGATAATGTCCACAACCATTGCTGGTGTAAAAGAGTAGTTGCTAGAGAAGAATAACCCGAAGAATGCGGCCGAAATCATTAGACAAACGTAATTGTCTGTAAACAACATCATTGCCGCACAGGAGATTCCGCACAAAATAAGGCTCACAGCGTACGTTTTGCTAACATGCATCCATGGTTGATCAGCAGCCCAACCTAGAGCGATCTAAAACATAGTCCTATACCGATTATAGTTAAAATTCTAGCTTACCATTCCAATTGTGTTAGTAACACCAATTACGGATATAACACCGGATGCTTCAGCTTCAGTATACCCGTGCCTGGTAAGATGCTCAGCGAGATAGAAGTAAGGCACAATAAACCATGTGAACAGAAGTATGGTCGACAAATTTAAAATTAGAAAATGAAGCTCGAGAAACAGGGAGAAATCGGCAATGTCTTTTAATACCTCAATAATACCAGAGTACCATTTCTCCTCCTCGTCATTTGCGAGTGTAATCATGGAATTACGGTAAATGTCCGGACAGCTAGATGCGCGCAGCCGATATTTAGGTATGTTCAACATAGCACCGCGGTACATCACCGAATTTCTGTGCAATTTAATATCTTTTAAATAGTGACGAGGTCCGCACGTTTTCATCATGATAAACGAGTCAACTCGCTTCATTGCCGGTAGGTGATTTGACACCACTTTCACATCGGCTGCCGGACTCAACAGTGGCTCCTGAACCTCGGTTGCATGGCCAACTGGGTCCTACAAAGCAAAATGTGAAAGGTGCCAGGGGTTAGGAGTAGACTCACTTGGTGTTTCTTGGCCCTTTTCAATTTCATCGACATTTTTACTGGCAGCCTTGCCGTTGGCGAAATTACATTTTCTGTTATGTGATTTAACCCCTTATCAGAGGTACTCCGACAGGATAAAAGTGTGGGGTAGTTTTCTAAAATCACATTGTACAATCGTGTGTTCGAACTGAGTTGTTCGAGCACCTCCAAGGGTACCTAAAATCAAGCGAATTACACGGGAGGGTAGAGTAACGCGTAACTTACAGTTTCGCTCTTTCTCACGAATGTAGGTAGGTTGACCTCTGAACGAAAACGGTCACGTGCGACAGGCTGTTCAGTGTGATTGGCGTCCATAGAGGTGGCGAGGGTTTGCAAGATATATTCGGGCTTTTCTCCACTTTTCATTAGTTTCCTGATCTCTTCGACACCTGGAAAATCTGATTCTGAGACACTTCTACCAGACACTGAACCGAGGCTCGATGCGTTTTTGATTGAACGTTTTCCAGTCGAGTGAGCCCTGATGGGCACAAAAATGTATTAACCTAATTGCCGATTGGTTGTACCACAATTGTTCTATTACAAATGTTAGTTAGAAGCCAATTAGAAAGCGACTCAACTCGAATGGCGCCCAAACGTGGGGTTCCGGATATTATTTGCACTATCATAGCAACTTTTGGTCTAAACCGAGCGTTATTCTCTACTTACTTATTTTGTTCTTCAACCGCTAGCCACTCAGGTTCCCTCATCAATGCTCCACACACGCACATGTTAAGAAACGTTCCTGCAAGCAATAAGGTGGTACCCCTCCATCCGTACTCGGCTATAAAGTGTTGGGTCATGGGTGCGTATACGAAGGTCCCAATTCCTGTACCGCACGCACCTAGACCGACTGCGAGCGATCGTTTCTTGTCAAACCAGTAGGCGACGGAGACTACGGCCGTAACGTAACAGAGGCCCAATCCGAGCCCGGCAATGAATCCGAATGTTATATACATCATTGTGATCGATTGTGCGTATGAGCTCAAGACAAAACCAAAGGCCGAAACTATTCCGCCAATGATAGTCATTTTTCTGCAGCCGAAACGATCTACTAGTGCGCTCATGACGGGGCCAGTCAGTAATGGAACAGCCATGAACAAACTGCCAATCCAAGATGTGACCGATTTAGATGCTCCAAACTCGTACAAGAACTCGATGTAGAGAAGACCAAACGAAAAACTAATGCCATCGGCGATCATTGATATAATCAGCGAGGCAAACACCACTACCCAACCCCATCCTCCGTCTGGTATTTTCGGTTTACGTAACTTCCTCTCCGCAATACTCAATGTGCTAGTTGAAGAGTAAAGCGAATCGCTGTCTTCAAATGTGACTTCGGTCTGTTTCTCCTCAATCGCTGTATAAGGCGGCGGAGCCAGATGGGCCGGAGAGCCCGCCCAGCTTACAATGGGTGCCGTCCCATTTCCTAGCTTTTCAACGTGGGGTTCCATACTAATTTGCTCTTCAATATCCAATTGTCAATTAATACTTAGTCACACATATGATAACGGTAAAATAATAGTAAAAAATAATACTCTTCGACAGATAATGGCAATACTAAAATAATACTGAAATATGTGAAACTGGGCGAAGTCGATGATTAGGGCATGAATTCGAGATGCCTCCCCAATTGAGCAGGTTTAAAACTGCATCCAGCGCTTAGACCAACTTTGTAATCTTAATCTTGGGTCTCTGCACAAAATTGGTCGCTTGGAGGAGATGGAGACAGTTTGGAGTGGCACAACGTTGGTGCTCATCAAGAACCGGTGGGTTTTAAAATTCGCACGTGTAAACGAAATGTTCGGCACTTGGTCGCTTCAGAGCCTCAATTTAATTCACGCACCCCGTCTGAAACAAAAACCTCATCAATACGTGTTGCTACATTAAACGAATACTTCGAACTGAATGTTTTGCCAAAAAGAGGATTGCCAAAGAAATTCTATTTTCATTTTATTACGAAGTTTGTTTTTTAAATATTTCGTGTATTATATGGAAATGAGACTGACGTCAAGAGCAATTTAACGAGAGTTTGGTCGCATAAGGGAATTACTGTACAATTCCCATCTATTGTTATAATTTGACTTGCATACAATAATAAATCTGCCCATTATAATTGATAGGCACAATTATACAACATCGTGATGTAACCGGTTCTCGTTATAAAAATAAACGACAATAGTTAAGTGAAGAATAGAACATTTAAAGACAGTAAAGTTCACAAACATAACGTTTATTATGATTTAGACCGAGGCCAACGTCAAAGGCGCCGCGCGAATCGATTTCAGACGTCATGACGCCACTATATTAAAATGAAGCCCGCTTCAGAAAAATGCCAATGGAAAACTAAATTAAATTTGCGTTTCATTAGATCAAATTAAGTGCTTGTACGAACTAAGAAAACTTAAGAGTGGTAGAGTACATGCATATACCCTCTCGAAATAGCAGTAAATTCTTAGGAACCAAGAGCAGTACCTATGTGGTAGATCATTTAAACCAGTTTTAACTAGAAATATAAAAATACACGCGACAAACTTTGGCAAAAACACACTGACCTAGTCAGTTTTGATATTTATCAAATTTAAAAAATCCTGCATTGTACCAAGTATAGGTACCAATAATTGTAAATTAGTACAAGATTAACCAGAGAATGGTTCCATTGCGACAACGTTTGTGGTGGGCAATAATTAAAACTAGCGCATGATACGTACAGAACTGGTTAATTTTCAAATATGTTGAAAAGAACTATGTGTAATATTACTATATAGCCTTACTTCAATGCTGCTACAATTAAGTTATAGACAAGAGTTTAGGATAATGAATGACTAATTCAGTCAAATTGTGGTTTTACCAAAAAAGTAATGGAGTATTTAGTTTTGTTTTTTTCAGCTTAAGACAGTCGCTGTTACTCCTTTATTTTTAGTTTATGCTACCATTTTCGGATGATACAATTTTGTACGCACGTTTTTCAGAAAGTTTTTGACCAGGCAATGAGAATATAAAAAAGCCGGTATCATTCAAGATGGGGACAGAAAGTACAGGGATGATGAGGGAGAAGATAATGTTACATCGCCTCATAGATTTCAACATGGAGAGTTTCAGGATGTTTCTTGTGACGTAAGCGACTACTAGATTAAAAATGTAGATTGACATTTTTTCCTGATCTTATTTGAGCAGATACAGATAAATAAAAAACACTTCTCATTGCCACTTTTTGAGCTTTATATAGCTATGCGACACCATTGAGAGATTATCAATACGACGTTTCCTTTCGGAGAAATTATCTTTATTTTTTTATATGGCCCGTAAAAAAATACACACTGTACTGAGTAGCATTTTTATTCCGAAAACAACGATACACGGTACACATAAAAAAAGTTGGAAACTGTTGGTTTCAACAGGATGGTGCACCAGCGCACAGCGAAAATGCCTATCAGATAAATTTCCTGGAAAATGGACAATAAATCCGATAGTACTCTCTAACGATTTATGGAGTAGTGCGCGGGGGCACCGTTCTGTTGAAACCAACAGTTTTCACCTTTTGTTTTTGTTGTATGGCGTATAAAAAAATAAAGTTGATGATGATTTCTCTGAACCAAAACGTTGTATCGAATATGTCCCAAACGGTGTCTTGTACAGCTCAAATAATGGTTTTTATTTTTTCGTATCTGGTCAAATAATATTAAATTTCGGTTTTTCTGGAATAATAATCCGAATTTTCTAGTTTTTCTTTAAAGCATGATAGTAACTGTTGAATGCCGCAACTTTTCCATAATTTGATCATCGTCGTATCTTCTATGGTTTCGGAGATCCCCATTATGGACATCCTTAACTTGGAAACGTTTTTCTTTAGTTTGTTCATTATTCTACATGGCGGAAGTATGAGCCGTAAGAAAAATAAGAAGAAGCACATTTGTGAATCATTTGGTGAATTGTAAGATAATTCATCGGTCGCCCGTAGACCCATCACGTTCCAAGCACCGACTCAATTTGACTTCCAGCGCCCAGAAAATTGGGAAAAATGGTTTAAAAGGTTCGAAAGGTACCGGAAGGCGTCGGGGTTTGTTCAGGAGCCAGAAGAAAAACAAGAGACTTCTTTAGTTTATTGTATGGGGGAGAATGCTGAAGATATACTGACTTGCTCCCAACTTCCCGAGGAAAAACTCAACTATAAAACAACGGTAAAGGCCGCATTTGACGAAGCGGAATATAATTTATGGGCGTGCTGAATTTAATTCTCGAAACCAGAAAAACGGACAAGATTTTTGAACAGTTTTTCACCAATAAATCAGTTTGATGGGGAATGCTGTGCTTTTCGGGATCTTAGGGACGATCTCGTTCAGATAAAATTATGGTAACCTCTCAATTTCAAGAGGACGCTGACCTCACTTTAGAGAAAGCTATAGGTACAAAAGGCAAAACAGGAGGAATCCATAAAGAAATAAACTTATGAACTAGAGGAGCTTTAATCGAAATCTTCATCATCAGAAGTTGATCGTATCCATTCAAGTTTCCACCAAAGGAATCCACGACTGATATTATCAAAGGTGTGTGGTGGAATTGTGGGGGTCCTAGACACCCACGAAATGCTTGTCCAGCTAAGGACCATACTTGCAAGTGTGGAAAAGTTGCCCATTTTAAAAAAAATGTGCCAACGAAATACCTCGGTGGGTAATTTCACAAAGAATCCTCGCAACTTTCACTCTGAGAGGAAGATGATGACCGGACGTATATTGGAGCGTCGAATACGATCGGTGGACTGTCCAATGCTCGGTACGTTGACATTTTTATTGATAATAAAAAAAAGGATTGTTAGTATTAAAATGTCTTAAACTTAAAATCTTAAAATCAACCAGCAACTAATGAAAAGAAAACGTTTTGAACGCTTTCTACTCGGAGATTGAGCAAATCCCATGGACGACAAGAAACGGCGAGCCAAATCAATTAGTTTCAAAATTTTAGAATTAATTTTTTCGTTGAACATCCTCTCCTGAGCAACGTAGGCGTGGAGTATCATACTTTTATCTAAATAACGATATCGGCATCGTAATCTTTTTAATAAGTATCTTTTCGGCCACTGCAATTTCAAAGGATAAATAAACCATGACTTCTAAATCATTTATTTTATTCAACAATATCATATCCGTGGACCTGAGCCAATGCTTTATTTCTATGAATATTTAATTAGATACAAAAAGCTAGCCTGTTGTTGATATAGGCCTGGCTGGACATTAACTCATTTCCGCATTTTTCATTTTGCATGTCTACTTTATTAATGGGATCGTAACGTAAGTAGAAGCACTACTTATCAACAATTTGCTTGTCCAACCTGACTACAGACTCCTTATCTGTTTTTTTGAAACTTCTTGTTTGATGAACACTTTTTACATGATATGATAAGATACTTATAAGTAGGTACGTCAAATAGGTAGGACCTGTCCACAGCCTCAAGAAGATAAACATTTAAAATTTAATAGTACTATTGACTTAAGTAAATATTTAAGGAATATTAAACAGTGATAATGAATAATTTAATAGGTACCTAATTAACTATACACCAGTCTTTGTTTATTTATTCCTTTTATGTTAATTGTTCCCTTGAATACCTCAATTGCGACAATTTCAAAACAATATTCCCTACTCCTGTTGATGACATATCGACACAAAATAAAACCACAAACAAGTAAAATTACCAAAGCAGAAATTTGTGGATGACACTTTTTTGTTCCCCATTTTGCGTCGATGCACAGATCGGAAGAACAAAATGGAAATTGGGTCCATTCCACAAATTTGTGTCGATACTGTTTATACTAATTGTATTCCAAAAAAAGTATGTAGGTTACCCATCAAGTAAGTAGGTACCTAGCACTATTTTAACAAGTTAAAAAGTAATCGTAAACGATTTACATAAAGCGCATTTCCACTTGCATTCATTTCCCATTTGTAAGATGCAACTTCTGTTAAAATCGTAAAAGTCCGGCCACAAATATAAAAGATAGCGTTGCACATGGGCAATCCATTGTTGACGTGCTACTTCAATTTCAGTTTATGAGAAGAATTTCATTTCAATGCTTTTCTAAATAAGAAAGTTGGAACAAGCATGCGCAAACCTAAATTTTAAAACTAATGTTAGATTTTCCTTTGTTTCAAGCGCCTAAGTATCACATTTCACTTAAATAGTTCCATAGATAAAAAAGTTGGCACTGCGCATGCGCAAAATAAAATTTTGAAACTGGCGCTAGATTTTCCTTTATTCCAAGAGCCTATGTATCACATTTCATTTAAATTCTTCCATAAATATAAAACTTGGCACTGCGCATGCGCAAAGCCAAATTTTGAAACTGGCGTTTGATTTTCCTTTATCCCAAGTGCCTATGTATCAAATTTCGTTTAAATTCTTCCATAAATAAAAAAGTTGGCACTGCGCATGCGCAAAACCAAATTTTGAAATTGGCGTTTGATTTTCCTTTATCCCAAGTGCCTATGTATCAAATTTCGTTTAAATTCTTCCATAAATAAAAAAGTTGGCACTGCGCATGCGCAAAACCAAATTTTGAAATTGGCGTTTGATTTTCCTTTATCCCAAGTGCCTATGTATCAAATTTCGTTTAAATTCTTCCATAAATAAAAAAGTTGGCACTGCGCATGCGCAAAACCAAATTTTGAAATTGGCGTTTGATTTTCCTTTATCCCAAGTGCCTATGTATCAAATTTCGTTTAAATTCTTCCATAAATAAAAAAGTTGGCACTGCGCATGCGCAAAACCAAATTTTGAAATTGGCGTTTGATTTTCCTTTATCCCAAGTGCCTATGTATCAAATTTCATTCATATACTTTTATAAGTAAAAAAG